ACTGTGCCACTACGAATGTCGGAGGCAAGTTTTCCTGCCGCTCCGAGCCCGCTCCGAACAGAATCGGCCTGCAGTCGTACGGAGCTGCAGCTCTCGCTCTCTCCCTTCTTCTGCCGGGCATGAGGGGCGGTTTAGACACTAAGGCCCCCCCATGCTTTGTGGGGTGTTGCAGGGGTGTGAACGAAGGTTTGTATCCCCCTGGCTATCTAGCTACAAGCCATTCCTATGTTACCCCCGCTCTTGCTTGCTTGCTCTTGCTTGCTTCCCCCCCCTCTCTCTCTCTCTCCCTCCCGCTTGCCATGGCCTCATGCCATGCTGGGGGGGAGCTCCTGAAACTTGACCCTAAAGCTGCGGAGCTGCCGCGCAGATCGTCACTGTCACAATGTGTCCGCTACACTCTGCAGAGAGATGTTGCCACATGTCACACCGTGTTTTTCCCCTTCCTTCTCTCATTTTATGTGATGTGGAAGCACGACTCCCTCTGGGAGATGCGGCGTCTCATAGTCACGAAAAAACTCACCCCCTGGTAAAGGCTCTTTTCAAGAGCTGGCCGGGGCAGTGTCACCCTTGGCCAGCACGGCACGGGCACGTGCCACGCCGTCGATAAGGTGCTCAAACAGCATCGGACCCTTTCGCCTCGCGAAGGCCATTCAAAGCTTCAAGACTTCAAGGCACAGGCCATGTGCTACATAGTGGCCCATAAATGTCAACACAGTCGGTCAATCCTTCTAAGTAAACTATAGTTATTTTTGAATGTAGGCAGCCCACCGCCGCCGGCAGTAGCCGGGTCGCAGCGCCACTCGAATTGAGGGAGGCTCAGAGCTCGGATTCTCGTCTTCGTCTCGGATTTTGCATCCTTGCTCCTTGCGTGCTCGGGCTCTCCCCGTAAATGTGTGCAGGTGAAACCATCAAAGCCAGCTTCGATGTTCTCCAGCGTATGACTCTCCTTCCGGGTTTGCTGTCAGAAGTGCAGAAGCGGAGCTGGCTTGCTGGGGGACCGGCACTTCTGGACGAGGCGAAAACCCTCTGGAAACTTGGCGTGTAGCCGCTCGATGGTGTTCGTGTAGTCCAGCTGACGGAGCGTTTTTTTAGCTCTGAGGCGCAGAGTGCCCCCACACTGCTGACAGTGCTCACATCTCCTCCTCGCCTCGGCTGGGAACCAGGACTGAAGGTCCTGGGCCCCATGCTCCGAGGCGTTCAAAGCCTCTCAAGAGCTTCGTTCATGCCTCTGAAGGTGTCTCATTTACTGCGCACTTCTCACCTGGAAGACCTCGAACCAGCCCTTGTCCCGCAGGGGCCAGACCTCTCAGGAGCTTCGGCTGCTGTGCAGAGCTCAGAGCCGTGCTGTGCTTTCGATCTCCCCCCACTCCCCCCCCCCCGCCGGGTTCAAGGGGAAGGAGTAGCCCTCGGCGATGCGCTCTAGCAGGAAGGCTCGCAGGCTGGACTCGTCCTTGTAATCCCAAGGCCTCGCAGAGGGAAGCGATCAGCGCTTTCGGAGAGGGAGTTCTCCAAGGGTGCCCCGCTTGCCATGCATCTCGTTGAAGCCGTGCCAAACCACCAGGAACTCGTCGTCCAGCTCCTGCGAACGCCGAGTCGCGAAAGCGCTTTGGAGCTCAGCTGGGAGAGCACGGCCCGCGGCGGCCCGCGGCAGCCCGGCCTGGGGGAAGTAGAAGTTGCCTCGGCTCGCGCCACGCCGCAGCGCGGTGCGCGCGCGCGCGCGCGCGCCGCTGTGTAAGGGTCCCGGCTACACTCGGCACCGTGGCGGACAGCACCACAAGGGGCAGTCTCTGCCACGACGTCAGCTATGAGCTGGTACCTGCAGCGACGAGCCGCGCCGCATGCCCTCGCATGTGGATGCGCTGCATGCGCATGCGGAGATGCGCTGGGCGCACGAGGTGGGATCCCCGAAGCCGAACTTGGGCAGCTCTGGGTGGACCCCGTCCTCAGACATCTCGCGGAAGTCTCAACGCAACGAACCGAACCCTGCTGCGCGCATCTCTGCTCTCAGCGACTCAGCGGCCTCCTTCTCGTTCTCCTTCTTCAAGACCTGCGGGACGCAAGCTGCGAAGGACTGCAAGCCCCCTTTCTCTTCTTCGCCTCCAGCCACCGAGAAGTCCAGGGGTTGTGGTCCAGGGACCCCAGGATTTCTTGCGTCCGTTGCAGCAGCCACGTGATGAGCTTGGCCTGGGCCACGGGCATGGCCACATGGCGGTGCGGGCTCTGCGGCTCTCCTGATCCGCTGGCAGCTGGCTGTAGCGCATGCCTTGCAGATATGAAGGAGGATGAAGCAAATGTGACGGCATCAAGAGACAAGAGAGACCCTCCAGTAGACTTGGAGCCGGGAGTCCTCGACTGCCAACCGTGAAGGTGTCGAAGTCCGAAACCACCGGCTTCACGTGGGCCTCTGCATACCTCGCACTGTTCGGCAGATTCTCGACAATTGTCGACCTATCACGTGTCGGCTCGCATTCCAGGCTTGTCGGAAGCAGCGCAGAGGCGTTCTCACGAAGGACTAAATCGAAACGGAGCACGACGACGACTCCTACGCCTGCTTCGCTCCCTCCTCCTCCTCCTGCTGCTACTACTCCACCACTACCACTGTCCTGGGTGATGACAATGGTAAGGGAGGTGAAGGAAAAGACACCCTGTTTCGGGTAAGTCACGGACTGGTGTACATTTAACGAATAAAAACTTGGGTCCTGGACACCAGTTCCAACCACAGTTTGAAGTTAAAACACGAGAAAACCACAGAAACAACAATGAACCAAAGGAAACCCAGTGCCTACTGGGAATGCTTGTTTATAAGCTATTCTCAAGCCACGCAAGACATGAACAAAACACAAACAATTTAAGTCGTTTGCCCTATATGTTTAACCACCTTTAATCTCCTCTCCTGTCATTGGGCAAATTAGATGAAGCGTGCATGCCTCTGCCGTTAGAATTATATTTGGACCCTTGGCTGCAGATGTACTGCAACGGATTGGTAATTGTTGATTCCACCACTACCACTAACACGACAAAAAAAAACAAGCATACAACGTCTGGTAACGCGTCCAGGGGCTGCAAATCACTTGCACGCGTCTGAAAAAACTCTGCGAAATATCTGAGCAAAGCCGTCTAGCAAACATACAAAACAATGACAATACGAGTGGTGATGATGAACTTAAGGCTGCTCCTTCTGCTGCTGCTACCGCTACCGCTACCGCTGCCGCTACTGCCACTGCCGCTGCTACTACTACTACTACTCCTCCTGCTGCTGCTACTATTAGCACTACTACTGCTGAAGCCTGAAGCACTGCCTTATGTATAGCGTTGGTGCTGGTGGAGCCGGTGCCCATGTCAGGACCGTTTTGTGCGAAAGGCCATGTGGCTTGAAGCAGACACGTCATGTGTAGCTAGCAGGCTCGCATGACACGCATAGGCAAACATACAAGCCAGATGGGCGCGGATGCTCCAGCTTCGAAGCTCGCAGCTTGGTGTTTGCGCGAAAAACCGAAGTAGAGGGCCGCGTGCTGTGTTCCATGGTTTCTGGGATTTTTTTGGGGACCATCCGATAGCTTGGAACGATTCTGAGAAGGCGACGAGACCGCATGTTGACTTCAGCTGAAGGGTCGGGGAATGTCCCCGCTCTTCAGGTGATGAGCCCAAGCGCTCCCGCTACGCAAGATGAAGATCCGCAAAGGGCTGAAGCAACGTATGGCTCCGTTGTTGGGTTACCAAATGGGAACTCAGGCCTCGATGAGCAGCTCAGAACAGATTGCGGTGCATGTAAGCCCCTCTAGAGCAGGTGAAGCAGTGACAGTGCATGAGGACCCAGTTGGCCAGTCTGGCGAGGTGGCAGGACCTGGACAGATGGCAATGGGATGTCAAGCATCTGTAGCTGCGACTATGGCTTTGGAGGTGCATGCGGTAAGGGCTGACATGGAAGTGCAACAATGTTGTACGCTGGATTTCGAGGTTGAACGACTTCCTGGCAAACCAAGGTCAGTCTGTGCTAGGTTCTGTTGGGTTTAGTGCGACGCCAGCAGCCACACCGACACGAAGCCAACAGCCGGCAGCAGCTACGAGTCAAAGATCGATGCAGGGATCTCCACTGCGTTTCGGCCGCCGCATGAGGAGCTACCACAGCGTCGCGCGAACTCAGCACGTCAGGGGGACCACCAGAAGAGCCCCCCTTGTTTTCTCGAGAAGCCTGGGAGCAGAAGCAGAGGGCTCCACTCAACGACAGGGTCTTCGGAGGTGTGGGCAGCCCTCTAGCGACGAGAAGATCGTTGGCAAGTCGGCTCCCCGGGTGGCGGTCTTCGGCCAAGAACCCAGGGCACAACGTTGGGGGCCATGAAGGTGAAAATGCACAGGAGGAGATTGGACGAGGTGGTTGTGAAGCGGCTTTTTGATCTTCTACCAAATCAGAGGTTCTCAAGGGAAACTGTGGACTTCGATGGCCCAAAGGGGAGTCAAAATGCCTGGGCATCTGGAGAGTTCCGACATGGTGGCGGGTTGGCTTTGAGAAACTCAACTAAGGAATTTCCCTACTCAACCAGGCTCATCAACCAGTACATCCGACGGAAGCTTGGAACGTCAACGACCTGGTCGACTTTCTCCCTCCACGGGAACCTCAATGTGAAGAGGCATCGGGATTCTCACAACGCTAGGGATCAGTACTCCCATTCGATCCCGATCACAGACTTCAAGAAAGGTGGCCTTTGGACACAGCTGGCCACGACCGAGGATGTTGATGAAGGTGAAGTGGTGACGTTGACTGGGCAGCGAGGGCGAGTACATCCTCTGCAGGGCTGCAGGGGATCAAGAATGTGGTTTCCTTTGACTCCAGGCAGTGGCACGCAACCATGCCATGGGAAGGAGAACGAGTCGTGATAGCGGTCTACACGGTCCGGGGCTTGGACAAGATAAAGAAGGTGGACGAGGACATGGCTTTGGATTTGGGTTTCCCGTTACCTTTGACTGTGGAGGACGAGCCAAGGATGTGCAAGCTCTTAGAGAACGAGGGCGGCGAGCAGGTCGGACCTTGAGCTGGAGACCGTGGAGTCTAAGTGATGCACATCAGGATGTCTGAAGAGGAGTGGGTGACTACGAGTGCAAGGTATGGCCTGGACCCCTACATTCCGGAGATGGCAACCAGGTGACGTCAGGTACAGCCGGTGGACGGAGACCTGAACTCAGTGATCGCGGCAGCGATTGTGGCGGACCTGGGGCGAGATTGGGCTGAACGTCCAAGGATCTACCTGGTGTCCGAAGAGGGAGAAGAGTTTGGAAGGTTGTTGGCTCTGAGGTCCTACAGGGTGCCAAACTACGACTTGGAAGGTAGGGAAGCAAGCTTCATCAGGGCCTTCAAGATCCGCAACGATGTGTTGAACGTGGAGGAGATGATTATCTTGTGGGTCCATCGGCGAGTGATCGTTCGACGAGTGCCAAGGGATGATCAAGCCGGAGGAGATAGAGGCGGACACGGGCCTACTAGTGAAGAAGATCCACGACCTGAGGACCTTGAGGGTTGCAATGATGAGAGTCGAGGAGGCAGAGCAGGTGATGTGGTTCATCGAGGTCTCCGAAGATGAGCTCGCTGAGGAGCTGAGGAGGTTCTGGCCAACGTGAGCCCTGAGAATCCGTTGAAGGTGACCCACACTGTGGACTCTCGTGAAGTTCTACCGGTGACGAAAGTGTTGCAAATACCGAGCCACATGGATGTTGTCCTAACATAATTAAGAGCAAACATTGTTGGTAGGGGCGTGCCTACTGCTACGACCACCACCACTACTACTACAACTACTACAACTACAACTGCTACTACTACTATTTCTACTACTATTACTACTACTACTACTACTACTACTACTACTACTACTACTACTACTGCTACTACTGCTACTGCTACCGCTACCGCTACTGCTACTGCTACTGCTACTGCTACTGCTACTACTACTACTACTACTACTAAATACCACTACCACTACCACCAGAACTACCACTACAACTGCTACTACTGCTACTACTGCTACTACTGCTACTACTGCTACTACTGCTACTACTGCTACTGCTACTGCTACTACTACTGCTGCTGCTGCTGCTACTGCTACTGCTACTGCTACTGGTACTGCTACTGCTGCTACTGCTACTACTACTACTACTACTACTACTACTACTACTACTACTACTACTACTACTACTACTACTACTACTACTACTACTACTACTACTACATACTTACATACTTACATACTTACATACTTACATACTTACATACTACTACCACTACCGATTCGTGCAAGTTTCTGATTGAAGGAAGGGTGCGCTACCGCCCTGGGATGACCAGAGCCACCTTCCTTGCCACGTGTTTTTTCCAGGGCCTTGACCATCGCCATTTAGGGCTGGGCAAAGAAACGAGAGCTGGGACGCCGAGTCTGGCAGCACAGCTAAATGAAGTCTTGAGAGGTCTCACGCGATGAGCAAACCACGAGGATTCATCGGGTCGCTCTCGTCGTACTGGTACAGGACCACCTGCAAACAGGCTGCTAGACCAGACGTCTGGAGTCTGGAGTTCTCGTTTATGACCTCAACTCCAGGCCCACCTGGGGCTCGGATTTCCCGCGGATGGCGTGCAAATTCATGTCCATGAAAGCTGGCTCCGAACGCCTCCCGGTCTCCCAACCTCGGAAAACCCTGGCCAAAGGCCAACTGCCCCGGTGAAACTCGGACACTCCAACGAAAGAGGCTCTGAAGTATCTTCTCATGCCGGCTTGCCTCTCTCTCCGCAAAAGTAGCTGGGCGCCAAGCCCATGACCGGCGTCAGGTCCGATCGCACGATGTACATTTCGCCTGGACTTAGCCAACTTAGCCATTTTGCGTCTGCTGAACTGATCGCTGGAACCATGCACGGTTGCTACGCTCAGCACACTGTCCTCGATTCATCTATTTTCACCGAACCGTTGCTGTGTTTAACACACTTTTATTCAGGCCCGCCACTGTGCTAGCGTGCAGCCGTCCTTGCCACCCAATCATCAGCAAGCTTTCTTGTCCAGAGCGCGATATGGGAGCATGCATTGTGCGCGACGCTTCCCACACTGCGATTCTGTGTGTGTGTATATGTTCGATAACCGCCCGAATGGAAGCATGGACGCGGTAGCATGGACGGGCCACACAAAAGAAAATCTTACTTCAACCTTAGGTACTTGCCACTTTCCTGTTGCTTTCGCGGGCCACTTCTGGTTCTTTGGTCAGTGGCAATCATCGACGGTTTCGGGAGGTCTTTTGCGTGTTGGCAATCCGTTCTTGTCGACAGCCGCCTTGAATCAGCTTCTCTTGCCGTGAAGGTGGCCGCGCGGCTTCGTGCAGCCCCAAGCTGACCATGCTCAGCGAAACTGCTAGACTCTAGACCACAGGGCGGTCTCTTCGGAGCAGAAGCTCCTTTCACAAAGGCCGCCACTTTAAAACTGTAGCTTCAACCATCTTTACCTGCAATCCAACCAAACCAAAGTCGCCGACTCACCTCTCTAAATCCGTGCCGAACGTACTGAGCTTCGCTTGGCCTCTTACCGGAACATGTGCATACCTGATTGGCTGGCTGTCGCCTCGGCCTGCGAAACAACGAATCCCGGTCTGAATGCCTTTCCGATAAAGTCAAGGATACCTATGTTTAATACACTTCGGAGAGTCTTGGAGCATCGCTCGCTGGTATTGCCTCCGACAATACTGAAGACGCGCCTCCCCTTCACCCCATTCTCATTCTACAGGACCTCTTGCTTTGCATCCGTGAGCAACCCTGCCCTTCCGTTTCTCTGACTGTGACCCTGCAGGAGACAGGACCATCTTCACTGATACAATCCTTCCGTCGAGTCGGAGAGTTCAAGCGGGTCTTTGCGCGTCGCCTGCGTTGTGTGTCCGGGTTTGTGAAGTGGCGTCTCTGGCGGCAAACCCTCTGCTGAAGGCATCGCTCCTTGTGCGCAAAGTGCTACTGCAAAATGCTGCAGGATTGAATTTACAGCGTTTTGCAATTCTGTTAATCCTGCAGTGCTGCACAGCTGTGCGCTGCAACGTGACCGCGCTCTTCTTATGCCACAACAACGCAGCAGCTGCTTGGAGAAAGCACGCGCTTCTTGGCGCAATTCACTCCGCCGGAAGTCTATCAAGTCTGCGGCGGAAAGCAGTGTGAAATTTGGTCACCTCGCTGAAATGGTGCCCAACACAGCAAAAAACGGGCGGAGCTGCACGACGTCCTGGCTGCTGCGTCATGGTAGTCTCACGGTAGTCTGCCAACTTCAGAGACTCATACGAGCAACACTCGCCATAAGACACGGTGCGTCTCTCGTATAAAGTGTTGCAGTTGCAGACTCAGTATAGTACGGCTACGGCGGGGGAGACTTTGAAGTATAGGCACGTATGCAGCAGCACGCAGAGCACGTATGAAGAGAGTGCGGCCCCGGCGAGGCTCTGGCGGATCAGCGGCTCTGGCAGGTCCAGGCCCCAACTCTCGGGCCTGGAAAGAGGAGAGAAAGAAACAAAGAGTTTGAGAAAGAAAGAGGAGAGGGCGAGGAGAGGAGATGGCAGCGCCGCAGCGCCGCGGTATGCGGGCGCCCGGCTGGAAGTCGTCGACGAGACGAAGGGACCGGTCCTCTCAGCAAAGCGGAGGCCCCCCGCCGACTTCGGGAGAGCTCCGTTCCGGCGGCGGCCGGCAGTGGCCTCGATGTCCAAGCTCGTGTCTTCCAAGGCCGCCTCGAGCACGAAAAAACGAGAGAAGACGTGGGAAGAGACGAGACGGACTTCCACGTCTCCGGGGGGCCTGGAGGAGCTTCTGCGCCTCCTGCCGCGAGGCCTGCAGCGAAGCGCCGCGCGCCCCACTTCTCTGCTCCACTCCGCTCCCCGCTTCTCCGCAGCCTTGGTCTTGTAGTAGACAGTCACCCGCGACTCGCGCGGAGACCTCGAGAGGAGCCGGCAGATGCTTTCTCTGCTTCGCAGGGCACGGAGGGCTGACATTGGACCAGCTTGGGCCCCGTCTGCTCGATGATGGACCGGTGGTCGTTGTCCGAGATCTGGATAAAGGGCACGAAGCCAGAGAGCACCTGCCAGAGAGTTGAGCTTGGCAAGGCCAGCAGTTGAGAAGTCTGGCTGAAGGCCCGGGAATGCCCGAGGCCCGGGCTCCCTTCTTCGCGGACTTGCCCTTCACGTTCAAGCCTTTGCCCACCTCAGACAGAACGCAGTGACGCAGTGTGGGATCCTGGGGCGTCGAGGTGTGCAGGGGCAGGGTGCGGCGCACCGCGACCCCAGACAGCATCTTGGCAATGGCGTCCTTGCTGGTAGGCCGGTACACCGCAAACCTGCAGCGCGCGCTCTTCAACCACAAGAGCACGGCATTGTGAGACTCGACCCTGATAGCTGGGCGGAAGGCCAGGTGCTCTCGCCGTGAGCTTTGGCATCTGGCCTGGGCACTGCAGATAGTTCCGGCTGCCTGCAGAGACCCCGTCGAAAACGCTAGAGTATATAGAGGCTCCGGGCGCCAACTGATGCAGCTTCAGACTGCCGCGGGGTCCTCGAGCGTCCCCGGCCATGTAGAAGTCTGCAATGAGCTTCCTGTGAAACAACAGCAGATGTGTGCTCCGCCCGCGCCCCTCTCCCCCGGTTTCCCCCTGCATGGCCCTGGCCCGGGGCCGCAGCCTGGGATCCGTCAGGTACTGCTGTTGTTGCAGGTCCGTCATTGGCCCGAAAAGCCTGCAGGAAGCGGAGGAGGCAAGGATGATCGGGCCGTGGCCGTACGCCGTGCCTTTCGAACTGCTTCCGGGTCAGGGCCAGCACCTCAGCACGCAGCAAAACGCCGACTTGTGCACCGACTATATTGTACATTTCCATCTGCGCCGCTGCACCTCGACGCTGGTGACCGCAGAGACGAAGGCCGCCCGCGGGGCGTTCTTCAGCAGCGCGAGCCTCGGCGCGGTGGTACCGAGCGGCCGTGGCAGCTGGGGGCGGCTGGGGGCAGCTGGGGGCAGCCTGAGGCAGCCGGGGCCGAGAGCCCGGCTCTCCGAAGAGATCTCCCGCCTTGTAGCGCTTGTATTCCTGCTCGTCGTTGCCTGTCACAGAGCAAGACACTTCGGGAGGGCTCGCTGCCACAAAGCCACGGCCTGTTCGGACCCATACCCGTGCCTGAGGCGAAGGTCTCATCATCGCTCATCATCGCTCTCAGGCTCCTTTGAAAAGCTTCCCCCGGCTGCGGCCGTGGCCACGCCCGAGAGCATGATGAAGAACTCCTTGCCCTCCTCATGCTGCCGGATGATGTCCTGTCGGCTGGGGGCCCAAAGCCCAAGGCCGAAGGCCGAAAAATGGCCTAGCGGCTAGGGCTCTGTGCTGTGCTTTCTCTGCGGTCCTCCTTGGGCTGGTAAGTCCGCTTCTGCAAGGTGTCGGCGATGCGAGCGATGCCCTCCGGCGGCATCGTCTCGAGCCTGAGAGTCGCCCCCCAAAAGGCGGAGGGGCATACATCCTTCAAAAAAAGTCTTACCTGGAGAGGAGGCGGAAAACCCCGTGAGAGCTAGGGCAAACATCAAGGAACCAGAGTCGATAGAACTCGGGCAGCGTGGATGCAAGCACGTATTTCCGTGAAGCTTTAAACCTGCCATATGATAGTAAAATTCTGCACTGCGCTGGCCCATTCACCCTTGTCGTATCGTAGTACCTTGACCGTCCCGGCACAAGCGATAACTTGGCCATCTACGAGCAGCTTCGAGCTGTCCTGGTGGCAGCTTAGCTAATTGCTGAGGCATCAGACTTGAAAACTGCTACGTAGGCGCACTCGGCCGCGTAAAAACAAAAGCTGCTTAGCTTGTCCTAAATGGACAGCACATGTCATTCTTGAAGTTTACCGACTTTGCTACGCTGCAACCCATCCAGGTGGAAATGTGGTTCTCGATCCGGAGACTGCCGTAGCATAGCTGTTTCGTACTCTTTTTTGCAGGGGAACCCTGTTACCAAGGGTAGCAATAACACAAAGCCATGCCAGTCAAAGGCTTCAAAAACCAGGGGGCAGTGGCTCCACTCAGCCTTCCACTGGTAACAATACTGCTGCTTGGATAGGAGATCAAAGGGAGACGTCCCTGCCTGCTTAAACAGTCCAGGGATAACCAGACATGGCTATTAGGCTATCAGGCCAAGACACACCTGGACAATATTGCTGTAAATTGCTGACTAGACGCATAACGGGACACTCCTTTTTGTGCACCCACTCGACTGTCCATCTGTATCTCGGAACTCCCATGCGTAGGATAAGCAAGCGCACATCTTGTGCGGTCCCGTGAACATGTTTACATGGGCTTTGGCCAATCACATCCCCACCCCCATAACAGGTATGGCGGAGGGCGGGAGTGGTAGGGCTCATGAAGAACCCGTCAGCACAAAGTTGATCCCACAAAAGACGCTTCACAGAAGCCGTTGAGGAGTGCTTCCGCGAATTTTCGTGGACATACTTGTGCTCGCTGGGTCAGAAACTCAGCACCTGCAATCCCAGCAAGCTGCAAATGCTCCAGAAGGTCGTGTCACGATCGAGTACCGAAGCCTTAACCAAAACTCACCGTGTAAACGTAGCCGCTACTTGCGAGCTCGTTAACCTCAATCCGAGCATCCTGCTTTCCTACATCAACACTCCGTGTCAACGAGGCGACCCGTTGACCAAGATCCTGCCCCTTCAGAAGTGGGCTCGAGCACTTGAGCTACTTTCCATTGCTACCGTGCGTCTGCCTGATGTAGTTTGAGTTGCGAAAGTCCGCAATCAGTTTAGCTTTTTGCGACTTGCACTTCATCAAAAGCTGTGCATCTGAGTCAAGCTTCGAGGAGCTAAGCTTCTCATCGCGTTTGCACTTTGCTAAGCATTGCGCGTGAGGATGTCGTGACGACTTCCTTTGTCAGTGTGAATCCTTCTCCTTTTAGGCTGCTCCATTCGCCACAGGGAAGTTCACGCGGGGAATCTACGGTAGGTCAGAGCTGTTGCCTCCTCGAGTTCTAAATTAAAACGGAGACTGATCACCTCCACCATGCAGTCATGTACAAATTTTCCAAGTCAGGAGGGGGGAGTTGAAGATTTACGAACAACCTCCATGTCAAGTGATGTTGCCTGACTGTGTAATATCTGCTACGCCATTACTCATTTGGCGTAAGATGAAAAAGAGCGTTTTTGAGTCTCGCTCTTGCCTTCAGTGTCGGGCTTCCTTTTGTGGTTTCCCTTCCCGTCCTCCTTGTTCTTACCCTAACATAGTATCATCTCTGTTTGGGATCAGAAGAACTTTTCAGCTACAGATATGCAGCTCGGCCAAGACAACAGAGCAAAGCTGGAAGGACCTTCAATGGCTAACACGTACCCACTTGTTGATCGTGAGGTGTCAACACAACCAGCGAAAACGGAATCGCAGTAAAGCGATAACCGCAGCTCGGAAGGAGGACCGTTGATGCACAAGATCATTGCGCAATCAACGGAGTTCAGAATGTACCCGACGAGCCTGTGGATTCGCACATTCTTACTCCAAGAACAAACATGGGAGGCAAGAGTGGTAACGGCGACAAGCAAATCGGGACGGCTCAGCCTAGCCGGCCAACTTCAAAACTTTCATGAGGATCCTAGCCGCAGACTCAGTCAACTGGCCGTCAACGAAGCTACCGATTCGTACAACTGCACGCATTGTTTGGCGAAGTCAGCTGACTCCAGAGCTAAAGCTTTCTTCTGCTGCCAAAACACAAACCTATGGCAGCGCCCTAGGACTCTGGTCAAGGGTGCGAATGGTTCGAGCTCGACCTGCTGTGAAAGGGAGCGCCTGAAACCATCGTGCAACGACCGACGGCCAGACAGAGTCAAATCGTCTACGTAGACACATAAACCTAAACCTAGAGACTTGAAGAAGTGAGCCGAATGAAAGTTTGGAAATTCTTCTCCGCCGAATTTCAACAAAATCTCCTGGAGATGCTGCTGCAGAGCTTTCAGGATGTCTGTAAAGGTCGGAAGATGTGCTTCTTGCTTCTGAGTGTAGGCTCGCACAGCATCACTGGTCGTAACGCCGTGAGACTCAAGCAAACCAAACGCAACTGCAGTGCTCAATACCTCAGAGAGGACGGAGACGAAGCGAAGAACTCCTCGAAGACTGCTGACAGACCTGACTGATCCCTGATGTCGCACCGCGAAACACGATCCGAGCTTTGAGTCGCCACTGATCTGGAATCAGCTCAGATCCTTTCACGGATAAAATGATCATCGAATTTCCAAAATGGATAACATTTGAAGTCCTTGTGGCCCAGGCGAGAACATTGTTCTTCGACACTATCTCATCCTCTAGCCAAGTGCCTACACCTACAAGCCCGTCTTTCTCCTTCTTTATGGCTTCATACGCTCCTGGCTGCCCAGCCCACTCCTTCCGATCAAGAAGCCGATGAACTAAACCTGGAATCTTTACCTCTTTCATCCCGGACTCGTGCATCAGCACATCGAGTGGGACTCGGGGCTTACAATCTTTCTCGCGATGAAGCTGTGGCAAAGATGGAACACACGGATGTGCAGGCGTCTGAAACGCATCAGTAAAAGGAAACAGCGACATGAGCAACAAATTGTAGAATGCTTCAGGGTAAAAATCCACACACTCGTTTTGAGGGTTGGATCCTTGGGGGCTGGATCAGGGGGGTTTGAAGGCCAAAACCAATTTCCTCAATAGTGCAGTTCAATATACCGATTTAAGGTTTCAAGCAGTTGTAGTATTAGCTTATTTATGTATTTTATTAGGAATTTCAGTGCCGGGGGCACGGCCGTTGACCAAAACATTTTAAAGCACACTGGGAAGCCAGCGTGAGGAAACCCTTTTTTGCCAAACATTTTTGCATTTGTCCAAGCCGGATGTATTGAGCGATGGTGTTCGCTTCTGTCCAAGCCGGATGTGTTGGAAGCTGAAACGTGGTCCTTTGTCACGTGCCACTGCTTGGTTGGCTTGGTTGCTTGGTTGGCTTGCTTGGCTTGCTTGGCTTGCTTGGCTTGGTTCGACTCGCCCTACCCATCCTGCACGCCCAAGCTCAGAGTGGTCTTAGAGACCGCTCCAGTCGGGCTCGGACCACGTGAGCAATGGGTCCTTGATCCGTGTGGGACAGCGTCGCTGGCCGGGCGCTGGGGATTTACTCTGTGTGCTGCTCGCCTGTCCAGCCAGGTGGTGTGTCCGCCGCGGGGTGAAATGCACACAGATTGCAGGGAAGGCCTCGCTACTATTAATAAATACTATGCCACGTACCCACACCACGGTCGAAATATTAACTTCGATCACTGCTGCTTGCCGGCATGGCCCCGCATGGCATCTTATGCTGTGCCTCATTGACAGGTCTTCAGTAACCGGCGCGTTGCGCAGCGATTCCGGTGCACTCGATGACGAGCATGACCTGTCCTCTTGCGGGCCGGTATGCAAGGCAATTGGATTTCAGCGCTCCGCATCTGATTTGCCGGCGCATACTCAGCAGGGTGACCCCATCTTGGCCGAATGGGGGTGGCATTTAAAGAAGTCTCCAGTCCGCATGACTGTCAGAGCACACTCGTGTTTGCAAAGACGCTGGGGAGGCCGTTACTGTGTCGGCATGGCATTGCTTGGCTTGGTTGATTCGATTCTGCAGTGGCATCAATTCTGGTAGCATCAATCAATTGTGGTAGTCAGCATGGCATTGCTTGGCTTGGTTGATTCGATGCTGCAGTGGCATCAATTCTGGTAGCATCAATCAATGTCAATGGTGGTAGTCAGCATGGCATTGCATGGCTTGATTGCTTCGATTGTTGCGGTGGCATCTGATTCGATTTTGCGGTGGCATCAATTCTGATACCATCAGTTCTGGTAGCAGCAACTGTGGTAGTCAGCATGGCATTGCTTGGCTTGGTTGATTCGATTTTGCAGTGGCATCAATTCTGGTAGCATCAGTTCTGGTAGCATCAATTTGTCAATTGTGGTAGTAACAATTGTGGTAGCGCTAATTGTGGTAGCATGATTTGCGGTAGTATAACTATTGTGGTAGCATCAATGGCAAGGTCTGCCTGGCATGTTTTGACAGAGCCGGGGGGGGGGCAGGGCTGGCATGAAATTTGCATTTTGCCAGGTGAAGTCGTTTCAGAAGGCATGTGAGTGATATTTGCGCGGAAGGCTCAGTGAGTGTGTGTGTGTGTGTGTGTGTGTGTGTCAGCTTGCTTGGTGATTGATTGTGAGCCCCTTGTAACCTAATGCTGCAGTTCTGGCTCAAGTGGTCTGCCTGGCATGTTTTGACAGAGCCGGGGGGGGGGCAGGGCTGGCATGAAATTTGCATTTTGCCAGGTGAAGTCGTTTCAGAAGGCATGTGAGTGATATTTGCGCGGAAGGCTCAGTGAGTGTGTGTGTGTGTGTGTCAGCTTGCTTGGTGATTGATTGTGAGCCCCTTGTAACCTAATGCTGCAGTTCT